CTACACCAGTGCATCTTGTGCTTGTTGTCCGTCAGGAGCACGGAGATCGCCCAGAACGCATCCTGGGGGAGGGGGGAAACATACGTAATGTACCATCCCCTAACACACAGTGTACCATCCCCTAACATACAGTGTACCATCCCCTATCATATGGTGTACTAACCCCTCCCCTACACTTGTGCATCTTGAGCTTGTTGTCTGTCAGGAGCACAGAGATCGCCCAGAACGCATCCTGGGGGGGGGGGCAAACATACGTAATGTACCTTCCCCTCACATACAGTGTACTATCCCCTATCATATGGTGTACTAACCCCTCCCCTACACCAGTGCATCTTGTGCTTGTTGTCCGTCAGGAGCACGGAGATCGCCCAGAACGCATCCTGGGGGAGGGGGGAAACATACGTAATGTACCATCCCCTAACACACAGTGTACCATCCCCTAACATACAGTGTACCATCCCCTAACATACAGTGTATCTTCCCTTACAATGTACCCTCCCCTACACCAGTGCATCTTGTGCTTGTTGTCCGTCAGGAGCACAGAGATCGCCCAAAACGCATCCTGGGGGAAAAACATACTTGTACATAATGTACCATCCCCTAACACACAATGCACCCTCCCCTACACCAGTGCATCTTGTGTTTGTTGTCCGTCAGGAGCACAGAGATCGCCCAAAACGCATCCTAAAGGGACCCAAACATACAAAATGTACCACCCCGACATACAGTGCACCATCCCCTAACATAAAATGTACCTCTCACTTGCAAAATATACCACGCCTTAGTTTAACTTTACTACCCTACCAACAATTTAAGAACCCCAACCCACAATGTACCACCCCCTTAGACACAATGTACCCTCCCCCAACACACAATGAACCCTCCCCTACAGAAAGATGATGAAATAAAACATGTTATTTACACGCCAAAAACAGTTACTCAAGCAACTGGATATGATTTGGGAAAACAAATCATATCCAGTTGCTTGTCATAGCTGTTTTTTTTTGTATCTTATTAAGTGGCTGTCTAAACCTTACTGACTTAAGTGTTGTAATTTCTCACCTCTTCGTTGAGGTACATCAGCATGAGAGCGGCAATTTCGCTCATCCCCTGGCAGTAACCAACTTCTGTGTTGTACATGGAGTAGGCTGACAGCACATGGAACAGGGCCTGTTGTCTGCAGCAGAACAACATATGTTACCATCCCTAAACACATAATGTACCCTCCCTAACACACAGTGTCCCCTCCCTAGCGCATAATGTACCCCCCTGGCAGTAGCCAACTTCTGTGTTATACATGGAGTAGGCTGAGAGCACATGGAACAGGGCCTGTTGTCTCGGGGAGAAAATGTCAACATTATCATCCACAAACTCAGCCATGTTTGGGATTGTGTTCTCCAGAACTCCAGTCTGAAGCTCTCAGAAAGGTGTCTGTCAGACATCGAAATGTAAGCTAGGTAAGAGACACTTTTGCGTAAAAGAAAATCCCTATATCGAAAATTTGCACAAGTTTGAAGCTTTACTCACTTGACGCCGTATCTGTCCCTGAACATGATGTGGTTTCTGTAGGTCCGGTTCACGTCGAGGTCGATCTGCCGCACGTCTGGCGAGCTGTTCCTCGCAGATACTCGCATTCTCTGTACAAAAATACACACGACACACATGGTAACATAATACTCACCTACAGTATACACACACAGTAATGTGATACCCTCAAACACACACACAGGCACGCGCACACACATACACTCACACACATGGTAACATGATACTCACCTACACATACAGAGTAACATGATACCCCAACACACACACACATGGTAATGCGATACTCACCTACACACACACACACATGCGAGCTGTTTCAACAGCTACTCGCATTCTCTGTGCAAAAATACATACATGGTAACATGATACTCACTCACACACACACACACACACACACACAGAGTAATGTAATACCCCAACACACACACAGGCCAGCTGTTTTGAGCAGCTACTCTCATTCTCCGCACATAGACACACACACAGTAACGTGATACACACACACACACACACGATGACACGATACCCTGTATATCCAGAACCGTGCCTATCTAGTCCTGAATGGGTCAGTGTTAGGATCAGCACGGTTCTGGACAGTCTCAGTGTATCCAAGAACGTAGATTTGCCTTGGGCAGGGTTCTGAATACTTTTACAATCAACATGGTTTCGAGAAACAATTTCATTTGCTCAACAACATTTGCACCAAAACCAGCCACGACTGTATTAATTTCAGCAACTCAATTTTTCTATACTGAATTTTTATAAAATGAAAAAGGTTCAGCCAAGAGCCCAAAAGCTGGAAACTGAGGTATGAGACCACCCTGTCAGTAAGAACTGAGGTATGATACCACACGCATAGGGCAGGCAGACCCAGAAACACCCAAACTAAAATCAAGCTTTTTTTTTTCCTTTTTGAGGCCACACCAATTTAATTTGTTGGTTCTCAGATTTTTTTTGAAAATATATCAAGCGACAGGGCGAAAAAAACGGTCTAGGCATCCTATTATGGCCCCAAATTAAATTGGTGTGGCCTAAAATTAAGCATTTTTTTCTGTTTGACTGAAAGTTTTTTGGTAATGTAATACACCAGGGGCTGAAACACCAGAGGCAGAGGCTGTTCAGGACTAGAAGAGAAAATTTGTCACATTTTTGACAACTTTCATGTCATCAGAGCTCAATTTCATACAACAGCAACAGTTTTCCAACAAAAATTTTTATTCAGAACGTTTTGGAACAAAATTGTATTCATTTTAATTTCAAGACATCTTTAAACAGGAACATACAATATCTAATGACACTTGCAGGGTTAGAAAAGGATTGGCTATAATGTTTGTAAAAGATTTCTATACACGTACTAGTATCTTTGCTAATTTCTACACTAAAGACTGTGAGCTTATTGTGGTGCAGAAGTGAAACACAGTGAGCTACTCTACTGGACTACGCTCTACAGCAATAATCAAGATGCAGATTTGTGCCTTCAAAGTAACAAAATCTTGAACAGATTGTTTTCTCAAAGAATAAAACATTTAACTGAGTAAAGTAAAAGAATTCAAACAAAACTTCTTGTTCTACAAAAAAAAATCCTAACAACTTTAAAGCAAAGCTGCAAGAAGAAAATCAAATCAAAAGAGGCAAATTTTTCAAGTTTAGAAAAGCCAGTCACTGGCTGGGGGAAACAAGAATTTAGAGAAGCCACCTGACTTCAAGGGAAGTGTCAAGGAAATGTTTAAGAAAAGTATCCAAGCAGTAGAGTCAAACTTGTGTGAAAATGCTGAAAAT